CCATGTATATGAAGAATATGTATATTGATTTGATAGGCAAATATTTGTGCCCTTAATATGCAATATGTAGACAAATAAAACTTAATTTTATGCTGAATATTGTCTATTAATTGTAATGTAGTTTGTTTGATGCAATTGTGACTTCAGTGCAATGAAAGTTCATTTTTAGACTTTGAATGTTTTAGAAACTTTCCACACTATAACACAATAGAAAATGTTATTCACATTTATTTTAGTGTTGAATATTGAATGGAAAGGTAGACAAAGTACAGGTAGGCTTACAATTGTCACTACAATTATTAAAGGGACCGGTATTGAGGATAGGGAGCAGATTAGCATTGATATGACAGGGGATGGCATACAGTGAATGAACATTAGGTCATTAATTATAGTATAAATTGAATCCAATGGATGTTAACCCACAAAATGTGTATGAATAAAATAGTTATGATTGTTACCGGTATTTCTAGACTATTAGCCGGTTAAAGGAGTAATTGTGATATCAAGTAGGTTATGCACTGTGCAATAAGGCTTTATACCAGTCCGCGTGGCCTAATGGATAAGGCGTCTGACTTCGAATCAGAAGATTGCAGGTTCGAATCCTGTCGCGGACGCACCTCTTTTTTGGCTACCATTCCCCGTATTATTTCATTTATTTTTAGTTTTAACTATTTTTTCATATTAAATCATATTAAATATCATAACAGCTATATATTAATAAATCGTAACCCATTATATAAAGTTAAATATATCATTGGTAATATAAAAATGGTTAAAAATGTACTAAAAGTAGACACAAAACTTGATAAAAACGACCAGAATATTATTTAGCATAGATTTAATTTTTATAAATACAAGTAATTTTAATATCTTTTATATAAGACAATGAACTCACGTATGACTCGCACACATACCTACATTGAAATGTGTAATACATTACAGAATATTATGTAAAGACAAACATTGAATGTTATGCTTCAAAACGCAAATGAATTAAATTTATAAATTTTATATAAGAAAAAATTGTAATCAATTGTTACTTTGAATGACTAGTTATTCATATATATGCATATAAATCAATACATTTTGTAGACAAAAAACCTATTTAAAAACAGTATTTTATTTGTGTTTTGTATTTAAAAGGACTTGTGATGAGCCAATGGCACGAAATCTAATCTCATATTTACTTAATAACTCCTCCGATGTTTGGTATAATGAGATGCGGCAGACAATTGGCAAGACCTAAATCAGCGCACAGTTGCCTACATTGCAGTCCACTATCACAGCTAATCGCGTAAAAGCGTCTGAAATATGCATTCAAATCAATTGATCTGTCATTAAAAACAACAGTTTCGTGAATACATACTTTGAGTTATCACTTCTGGTGGACAACATAGACGTCAAATGTTTGACGTCCGACGCAATCGTACTCCTGTTCACCATCTGACCCATGCTTAGCACGTAAAACGGCAGCCCATCGCCCAATTCAAACACTTTGAGCAATACTTCCTCTTCGCTAAATACAACACAAAAATCAGTTTTATTTAACAAAACAATTATTGCAATTCATTAGAGATATTTCGAAAACATTAACGACTGAATGCAACGTTTGCTTTAACTAAATATAAGACTCAAATTCATTACACATTTATCGATCGCTTGCGTGCCATGAAGTCCAGCGAAAACTCTTGCACTTCGTTCGGTGCGGCACTTGATTCGTGGCTTATGTACAAAACGCGAGAGACATCGGGTATTATAATGTTGTTATTGTTATTATTATCACTATTACTGTTGGGATAGTCCGTGAAAGACCACAAAAAACTGGAACTTATGTTGAATGAGAATCCCCTGCGAAAAAGGGCCGCAAATCTGGGCCTATAGTGTCCCAAATGGGCCCGATATACAACACCAGAATCGTTGGACACACTCTCGAATCCATTGTCATTCCAGGCGGAGACCGACTGTATGTCCGATCCGTTAGTCAATAGGAATGGCAATAACTGTCCCATAAATGGCAGGAAATCAGGCGCTAATATAGTGTTGATATCGATTAAAATAAAAGCTTTGGCGTCTGGAAAGAGCAGTTCCGTTGTCCGCCGCACTTCATCCAAATCCTCTCCGAAGTCCGACATATCATTGGACATGAAGTCAAAGGCTTCGGCTAAATATGCGATCGCCGGACAACACATGGAGTTATAGAAAACAATGACATTTCTGGGAGTTATGCCGGGCTGTCGTATAAGGGTTTCCAATGTTAGCGACAAATATATATTTTGGGCATAACTTTGAGCGGTTAACACAATGATTGGTGTCCTCATAATTTCAGTACTGATTGGTAGGAACTTCAGGATACGCGCCGGTAGTAACGGGTCGTTCACTATATTTCCTGTCAAATAGATAACAATAATATTAAAGTGAATTCAGTTAGAAAATACTTTCAATTATACAAACCTTCACAAAATAGAGGGAATTGTGCGGAATATTTGACACAAAACTCTAATCTCCTGGGATTACGGTCTAAAGTAGGGTCGGGCTGGACGGCTAACCCTTTGACTGCAAAATACCAAATCAATTCAAATATTATTCATTTACGATGCACTGTATTGTGGTCTCAATATCTCACTCCTTAGTGGCACACAAATCCTGATCTCATGCGAGTTAGCCCACCCGCCAGTGTTTGGAAGATTTAACTGTTTATTTGATTTCAAAAGATTATTAAATAAATAAATAACTTTTCAAATAAAAATAAATGTCTAATAATAATCACATTTTCATAAGGAGTGTATCCATTGATGCCTTTCTGAGTGATTATATACCAACTGCTTCTGTATATGAGATTCTGGGCCCAATTGCTCCCAATTTGATGCAATAAAAGTTTTGCCACTTTTGATAGTCTGCCATCAAATCACATAAAATCATTAATTATTACAAAAATCCATTTAACAACTAATGGACACTGACTTAGAGGTCGGTTCATCGAACGATATCATAATTACAATATCTCCCACTCTTAATGTCAATAGTAATGTCTCTAACGGTTGTGAATCTGTTTGACAAATGAATCCATAATTATAAGTACCGGTAAACGACTGGTCATTAAAATCAAGAAATCATTGAAACCTTTTTCATAGGTATCGAAGTTAGAGACCCTGAGTATAGATCGGGTCATATTGTCGATGACCACCAAATTGATGCCTCGACCGCAACCATTCAGGCCTTTGTCCAGAATACTGACCACACCATCGAAATCACAGACATTATCACCAATAGATCCAAACA